CTCTATGAAGTGAAAGTGAAGAAGGAAGTGAAGAAGTGAAGAGGAAAGGATCAGTTTCCCTGAGGAGAGAAAGAGGCTGAAGTCTGAGCACACACTGCCTTTTATATGCTCACCAGTTTTCCCACCTTTCTCCTGGCAGGATTGGTTGCCCTTTGCTACTTTTTGGGGTGACTGACAGGTTAGAGTTATATAACAGGTAACAGCACGTTAGTTATTTATCGTTTTCAGATACTACGGATGTGTCTTGCCCTCAGGAAAGCTCCACTCATGCTATGCTAATTAGAAGGTAATGAGCCCTGGGTCAAAGGTCACGATGTACTCATTATTGTGTAGGTTCCCACCGGGGAGCAGTTTCTAGTCACAATTTGGTTCCTAGCTACAATTCCCTCCCCACTCTCTTTCCTTAGCCTTTTCCTTGCCGCTTCTTCTTCTTCTTCTTCTTCTTCTTTTTTTTTTTGTAGAGACAGAGTCTCACTTTATCACCCTGGGTAGAGAGCTGTGGTGTCACAGCTCACAGCACCCTCCAACTCCTGGGCTTAGGCGATTCTCTTGCCTCAGCCTCCTCGAGGAGCTGGGACTACAGCGCCCCCTGAGCCACAGGTGCCGCCCACCTGGCCGCCTCTTTACCCTCTGCTCGACCTAACAACAGGACAGTACACCAAACCTTAGTTATAGTTCCCTCTTTACGTGTCCACTGCTGTAGAAAATCCTATCTACATCTAAAAACATGGGGCACGACTGAAAGGGAAAATGAAAATCCTCAAGAAAACCTCTAAAAATGAATAGCTCAGAATTATCTCCAAACTAGGTTTCATAAAATAGTAACTGTCTCCAAACTAGGTTTCATAAAATAGTAAGTGTTAAGTTTCAAAGATAAATTCTGAGTCTTAAGTTTGATTGACTGGGAGACAGAAAATCCTAAGACATGTTTTCCAGCAAAGTGTTACCTTTTCTGAGAATTAAGAGCAGCAAAGGATTATAATTATTTAATGGCATGAAATCAGTTCTGCAGCAGAGGCATGATTTTATTTTCGATTTTCAAACCTAAAGAAGCAAAGTGCATTCAAACAGAGCATCATAGGGAAAAAGACAGTGTCCTGTAACATACTACATAAATGCATGGTATATATTAAAGCAATGAGTGAAAAATTTCCCTCCAGGAGTAAATTTAAATAAGTTCTGGAAAATATGTTTGGAGAAGTACTTAAAGTTCAGATAATGTATATTTTTGAATGTTAACGTTCCAAAAATGTACTTAAGATCCCCAAAAACCTTTTGGATTTCAGAAATCACATGTTGTATTTTAAGAAGTTTATTTAGGTTAGAGTTTGAAGGATGTATTAAAATATGATTTTGGAAGGTTTCTGAAGAGATACTAATATCAGTAAAGGTTAGATTTGAACGCAAAATGCTTCAGTCAAAAAGAAGTCAATAGTATATTCAAAAATTAAAATTCTTATCATGTAAGAATTTCTACTATGCAATAGCAACTCAATGGAAATATAGACCATGGCTCAAACATGATATTATTAAATGAAAATATTACTTATTGTCACATTGCAATAGCAATAAACAAGAAGCGTCCTAATGTCTGTAAGAGAGAAAACTTCTGTGGGAGGTCACACTATTTCACTGATTTTACAGCTGAGGGCACAGTGAGGAAGAGTAATTTGTTCAAGATCATGTAGAGATTCTCGTTCACTCTGTGAGCTTATCCATGCAGTGACGAACCTCTCTTTACCATAGAAAATAGATGATAGAGATAGATTAAACATAGATACAGAGATATACATAGGTATGTTATAGTTTCATTTTAATAGATGACTACCTTTTAGAAAGATTATGGCTTCTTATACTTCTCTTTCTACATTGTGGGTATAAAAGAAAATATAAATTTAAGTTTCAACACGGAAAATATGACAAAATTTGAAGTGTTTGTCTTCACTGATAACAGTTGAATGGAGAAAGAAGGATGAAAACCTGTGACCCCAGTACACATAATACCATAATCTTCCTTGATAAGATGTCACTGGTGTGGATCCCACATGCCTCAGGGAAGAAGAGCCCAGGCTCTGGAAAGAGATTGCCAGGGTCAACATTCATGGCCCCCACCTGGTGGGCTGTGTGACCTTGGAGAAGTGTATCTGAATTTCTTTTTACCTCAGTTTCCTAGTATATGAAATAGGAAGAGTTGCATGAGGGAGAAGTTGTAAAATTTAAAGAGTAAAATGCTGAAAACAGTATGTGGTACAAGTTAGTAAGTATTAGCTATTTTGATTACTTTGTCATTTTATTTTATCCTAAAATATTCATGAAGAGGCAGTTTGTATGAGTTCAAAAAGGGAAGATGATTAATTTTTTTTTACTTTCAGATCCATGTGTAATAACTGAACGAAAGCTGAATAAAAATAACATACAGTTAAAATGGAAAAGTGACACAAAACATTATGCCAAAACAGAGGATGTCATTGAATTTGCATGTAAACCGGGATATAAGGCACAGACAGCAGTGCAATCATTTCGCGCAGTGTGTCGGGAGGGGCTGGTGGAATACCCCAGATGTGAATAAACAGGCTCTATTCCCCTACACATGGTGCCATCTTCTGTTTCTCACTCCCACTGACTCAAAACTGACAAACATGATGTCTGATGTTTTTCTGATCTCTATTGTATTTCAAATAAAAATGATAGAATAGTTTCAAGTTATAATTAAATGTCTTCTCAAAAATACCTTAAAATAAACCAAATTATTCATTATAAATGTACCAAAATGACTAGTTACCACTGTTTGACACTGGACTACTTATCTGTAAATTAAAAAATATAGGAGCAGTGACAACTATATGGTTTTCTGTATGTTGTATAGTACACTGAGATATCAAAGAAAAAATAAGTGAGTTTAGAATTTATTTGAGGAAGTAATACTATCATAAAGTTAGATATTAAATAGTAAATGAAAATAAACAGTTTCCCTTATTGTCACCATGGTCCTTTAGATGAAGTTATTCAAAGTTTTGTCAAAGTGTTTCTTGTTAAACACTGGCATTAGATCTTTATTGTGATTCAGAGGAAATAATACTGGAAAAGGCAAACTGGCATCATTTTCCTAGGGGGATATGGAGACATGTGAACTGTATGTATTAACTTGAGCAATATTGACACTTCAGAATGTTGAGAATCCCTATTTAAAGAAATAACTACTTCTCATAGTCAAGTCCACATTTATGTTTTTCAATAAAAATGTTTTCAAGTTTTTTTAAGTATGGTTTTTATTTTTCTTAAGTTTTGCTTAGGAATTTTTTTGTCCTTTCTTTTATACATAAGCTTTTCACTCTCGTCTGTTCTATACTTGATTTTTTTTATATACAAGAAGGGGATTTTAAAAATTGCATATCCCTGATAACAAACTTAAATTTCTATTGACTTTAAAAACTCCCCTTCTTTCAGTTGGCATGTGGTTAGCATAAGAAGAAAAGAAAACAACTCTTTTCCCCCAACATATTTTCACAGGTTATAGAGGAAAAACTATAAACATTTCTTTTTTTTTTTTGAGACGGAGTTTCACTTTGTCACCCTCGGTAGAGTGCTATAGTGTCATAGCTCACAGCAACCTCCAGTTCTTGGGCTTAGGTGATTCTCTTACCTCAGCCTCCCGAGTAGCTGGGACTACGGGCACCCACTACAATACCCACCTATTTTTTTGTTGCAGTTTGGTCAGTGTCGCGTTCGAACCTGCCACCCTCAGTATATGGGGCCAGCGCTCTACTCACTGAGCCACAGGCACCACCCAAAAAAGTATAAAATTTTTATAATGCCCAGTTCTATACTGAATGAGAGATATTATCAGAGAGGGCTTTGGAGATTAAAGCTAGGAATGATAAGACAGAAATAACTTTTTAAGACCTAAGAATGAGATAAACTATAGAATCTAAATAGGTTTTCATAGTTTGCAGAGGCTGAAGCATAAAAAGTAAAATTGTTTGGTTTTTTCCACCAATTTAGGTCCAATACATTAGCATGCATCATAAATACAATTTCAAAAAATAATTGCCTTAGTTTCTTAAGAAACTAAGTACCAAAATATATGGCAGGAAATTACAAGGAAAGGTGTTGAAGTACAGGTTATTGCACAAAGCAGAGGAACAACAAGCAATATTATCAGGAACATAAAAATAAAATGTGATGTGAAATAATCAGTGGGGATTGTTAAATAGTAGTGTAAGCATCAAGGAAATTGAATTAGTGTGACAAAGCATAAATTTGGTAAGTGCTATATGGTGAGTCTTCAAAGGGAAACCATATAGAAATAAGCGATTACAGAGATAATGATTAATCTGGACCAAGAACTATAAAAAATTAACCCCAGCAAAGAAATCAGACTAATGAGAACAAGAACAATCATTAAAGTATTCTTAGATTTATCTCTGGACAAATTTCCCTAATGTATAGCTAAACCTGGTCCCAGGCAAAGAGAAAGAGATCTCATAAATATACCTAGCCAATTTTTTAAAATTATAATTACAAGAGTCATGAACACATCATACAAATCTTTAAGGAGGAAAATTAAAATGGTTGAAAAGGAAATCTTTGGGGAAATAGAATGGTTCTTATCTTCATATTAAAATGTAAACAGTCATATACCCAGTGTGTTATTAATGAAGTCCAAAATACTACTTATTACAATGTTTCTGAATTTTTTTTTTTTTTTGTAGTTTTTGGCCAGGGCTTGGTTTGAACTTGCCACCTCCAGCATATGGGGCCCACGCCATACTCCTTTGAGTCACAGGCTGTTTCTGAATTTGTTTTTAAAAATCAATTCTATTAATAAATCCATTAAGACTCATTAAGCACCAAGACTTTTATACAGATAGGAAGTATTTGGAGGGTTTAAAAATATTACTATTACTAAATTATAAATTGTTAATTTATATTTATATTTATATTTATACTAAATATAAATTACTAAATTATAATTGTCAATTATAAATTGTTGGAAGCTATAATGCAAATACAAAATTTAGAATATGAAAATTTATAGAGAATATGCTGCTAATTTTGTAGAAAGAAATAGGGGACAAAGATTAGCAGGAAAAACATGACATTTTGATGTTTATCCCTTTCAGATTTCTTAAATTTTACAATTTTTACACTAAAGAAATCTAACTTTTCTAGTCAGAAAGTTTATGTCAGATTAAAAATAAGTAAAATATTAAGCCATGTATGCAAAGATTCCTAAAAATTCAGGTAAAATCAATATCTTTATATTATAATGTGTGAGTTCATACCAATGTCTTATGTCTTTGATTTTAATTAGAGCAAAGGCAAAAAGACATATTATAAAATAAAATGCAGATATGGTAAATAAACTCATTAAAACATTCTCAACAACTAGCTTGGTGCCGGTAGTTCAGTAGGCAGGGCACTGGGCATTGTGGCAGTCACCTGTAGTCCCAGCTACTTGGGAGGCTGAGGCAAGAGAATCGCTTAAGTCCAAGAGTATGAGTTTGCTGTGAGCTGTGATGCCATAGCACTGTACCAGGGGTAACATAGTAAGACTCTGTCTCAACAACAACAACAACAAAAAAAAAATATTTAAACTTAGATGTATATTTAGCATGCTAAAAATGAAAAAAAAAAAAATCACCTGAATTCTTTAGCTCATCGGTTCAAATGTTTTATGGCATTTTTTCTTTAAATGAAAAATTTTGATAATAGGAAATAAAATAACACAGAGAAATGACCCTTTTATGATGAACCTATGAAATATGCTTTACATTTTGAATTTTTTTTAATTTTAAGATAATACTTTATGACACACAAAAATATATAACTAATAAAGAAGCTTAAAATAAAAAGTGTTGAAGTTAATAAAATAATAGAATTTTTAAAATAATTTAATGTTTGTACTTTATGTATGAATAGGTAAATAATAAAGAAATGTTAAACAGAATATAGCTATAGGTCTTTGAAGGTTGATTTTTCTCTTTAAATAATTTTTTCAAGTTCAGTCTTCTTTATTAATAAACTAGTTGAAAACACTTTTTATTTTATCAAATGATATTTAAAATGAGACCTTAATTTCACAGTAATTGAACATAAATGATGAATAAAAATAAGTTAATACATTAGGTTGTCAGTGTTAAGACCCATTTACAATAATGATTCAGCCACAACGGTGAGTGAAAACAAAACTCTGGAAGCAAAGTCTGTTCTTCCGTTCACTGGGGAGGCTGGAGTGACATTGTTCCATCAAAAGGGAAATAATTTCCTTGGTCAGAGTATATTGACTTTAAGGTAATGGACTTCTAACATTCTTAGCTGAACAAAGTTCAAATACTTAGAACATGCTGGAATCTTTGTATGGATGAGCAAAATTACTTTTAGCCAAGTTTTATTATCCTAAACAAGAAAATATAGAGGAGCATCTAAAATCCAAGCATTGATTGGTTTTTTTTCTTCTTCTTTTTTAATTTTTTTTGAGTATTTTTTTTCAAATTAATATGAAGGTACAATTTTTAGGTCATGCTCATTGGTTAGTTTTCATAGAGAAGTTAAGGTATTGAATGTGGATAGGTGAAGTGATTGTGGGGTGGAAGACAAAGTTACTGTGACCTGGACTTCATTTGCATCTAACTGGTTCAGGAAAACCCACACTGTTTACAAGAAATATTTTTAAATAAAAAGTAGTATTTTGTGTTAATTTTGGACCCACTTCAGTTTTGTAACCACACAGAATTTCACAAATACATTTCAATTCAAAAACACTAAGTAATTTGAATGATCAATTCAAATAATTATTGTGAAATGCTGAAAAGTAATTTTTAATGACATTGCACAACTCTGTGAACCTTGATATTTATCAAAGAAAATCAGTAAACCAGCATTGCTGTAGGGCAATGAAATTGGATCAACTTTTATAACTGGCAATGGAGGCAGAATTCAAAGTAAAACAACTTGCATATATTTATTTACATATTATTAGGATATGCTTCTCTTAGTCACCATCTTTCTACTGATGCAGGTTTCTGGGCTGAGGGACAAGGTAAATTGAAGACAAAATTGAATAGTTCCCTTCTCAAATGTAGCTTTAGGTTATGTCTTTTTTTATGCATTTAATATTTTATATAAACAATAAATATGAATATTTTGAACTGTGTATCATTATTTTATCATTATTTTCATTATCATTATATTTAAATAATATGCTAAATATTATCTCATATTCATCTAGAAGGTAATTAAACAAAAGCAACATAGGAAAAGTAATTACATATATAAAATTACCTGTATATTATAAATATATAATACATATGATCATATATTATTCATTGTTTATAAAATATATTTCACATTTTTCTTCATATACATTATTTTTATTTCTTTGTTTATCATATTATATATTTATATATTGAAATTTATTTGTATATTATCTATATAGCATACTCATACAGAATATTCTATTTCTATGGAGGCAACACCAATTCTAAATTATTTTTATATTTTGCTATTGTGATATATGCACATATATATGAATATATATTTTATATTTATCAAAATCTAATTATAATTATATCTTGTGGTCTTTTTGT